CAACAAGCCCTACATGGCCTGAGACAGAGAAGAGCCGCGCGAATCATTGATGGCCAACAAGCGCTCCGTCGATGAGGTCGATCCTAAGCTGTCCGACAACGCTCCTTCAACAGCTGAAGAACCACCTGACTATGGCTTCTCCTGGACTACCTGATGGCGTACAGAGAGCCTTCGATCGCTCCACGCAAGAAGCTATCCAGTCACGAACGTTCAGTGGCACTACCACCACCTGCTCCAGATCCTCCGGAAGATCCTCCCATGGCAGAGCCACCGGAACCACAGCTAGAGGAGCGACAACCCTATGAACGGCATCCTGAACAACCAGAACTCGATGAAGATGAATTTGAAGAGCCAATGGGAGAACCGGCGCACATGGAGACACCACGTGTGAACGTCGAACCTCCAACCAGCCTCGCTGAACTACCAGTCCCACAAAACCACGATCTGGACTCTCCCAAGGCTGATCCTCCTGCGCGACCCATGGCTGACACTTCGTCATCTTCAAGATCCGCGCCAATGGCAGTTGATCCTCTCTATGCACCACCACCAGTAGAGAGTTTCCAAGATCGTCGGCGACGGTTCGCCACTTCTCCGCTTCCAGCTCCACAGATTGCTCCGCGTACTCAGGTTGTACTACAAAGTCGCCAGTTCTCAGCTTCCAGCTCCCCAGCTACTCCGCGTACTACAATTGTACTACGAAGTCGCCAGTTCTCATCTTCCAGCTCCCCAACTAGTCCGCGTACTGAAGTTGTACTACAAAGTCACCAGTTCTCATCTTCCACCGCGACTTTGTAGTACAACTTGAGTACCCGGAGTAGCTGTGGAGCTGGAAGCTGAGAACTGGCGACTTTGTAGTACAACTTGATGAGAACTGGTGACGACTTTGCAGTACAACTTTAGTACGCGGAGTAGCCGGGGAGCTGGAAGATGAGAACTGCTGACTTGGTAGTACAACTTTAGTACGCGGAGTATCTGGCGAGGTGGACGATGAGAACTGGTGACTTGGCAGTGCAACTGTAGTACGCGGAGTATCTGGGGAGCTGGAAGATGAGAACTGGCGACTTTGTAGTACAACTGTAGTAGGCGGAGTATGTGGGGAGCTAGAAGATGAGAGCTGGCTTGGTAGTACAACTTGAGTACGCGGAGTATCTGGGGAGCTGGAAGATGAGAACTGGCGACGTGGTAGAAGAACTCCAGTAGGCGGAGGTGACTTGCGAGAGGTGAAGAACTTGTGAGATTTCCTGGAGGCGTGCACGCTGCTTCTCGCTTTACCAGCAGCTCAAATGCTCACGACGATGAGCTGGGCTGTCACCGCTTGGCCGCCGGTGGGGGGTTTGGGAGGCCTGCGCGCTAATTCGTTCACTATAGGTACAGTGAAGACCTTCACCAGCAGCAGACATGGACATACACACACAAAGACAGGGACTCATACACACACATCACACACAGACACCCACGCACTGCCTCAACTTACACGAACACACACATACGCAGACTCATATACACACGGACATAGATACACACACAGAAACCCACACATTACCTCAACTCACTCGACTTAACACTTCACACTGCACACTTAACAGATAACTCGCACTCTGACTTCCTACGTGATGAAATATGCTTTGGGGCCACTCGTCGTCTAGTTGCAACCCGGTTCATTTTGACAACCCGGTTGGAAAGAAATTCCTTTTGCTCCTTCTGCGCTTGCCGCGAGAGCGAGAGGTGGCGAGAGTTCACTGACGTGGACCGCCGCCAATCACTCCACGACCATCGGTAACAACCACCGGTGTGAAATGGACTCCATCCATTTGAGGGCAAAGCTTTTGGCACCCCCGCTGTCGCCCCTCGGACCGGCCACAGGGGCCTCTTGAGCTTCACGCGTGGCACGCAGAACAGTGCATCCTTTTTCACTTTCCGTGACGGCACTTCGAGCGGTCGATCACTTTAGGTGTGTTCACTTTTGTGTTTCCACATCTTCACAATACCACAAATCATCCCGCTCACCAGCGACACAATCCATGTTGCCTTGATTGGGGTTGTTGTTTTTTGATTTGGGGTTGTCAATGTGTGGCCACATTTGTGGTTAAATTTTAAGCACAACTGGAGAAGAAGCGCTCAGTGTGTGGGCCCAACATGCACCAAGATGCAAATAGACTAAAAGGCTCAAAGGATCTGCCAAGCAGACCAGGTCAAGGTGGCTCAAGACTAAAAAGGCAACAAAAGAATAAGACATGTTTGCTTTAAACCTGAGATGGTTTGGCTAGTTTGGACATGTCCAAGGATGATATGAGGACCATTGACTTGTTAGCATGACAAGCTGAAGAGTAAGGGGCAACCCCCCCAAAAGGAAATGTTTATAAGGCTTGGAACTGTTGTTGTTTAACCTCGAACTCCAGTCGGGAAAAACAGTCGCTGCCGAGGTCCAATGACATCAGTTGCCTCTGATGGGGCTGTGTCACAATCTGACACATGCCAGTTTCAGCATTCTACAGCTGGCGACAACCACCTGAATTGCGTTCTGCAGACAAAATGATACAAAATGCAAAACATATCCATCTAGAACAGTCCTTGAATGCTTTGAAGAAAAGCGTATTCAAAGCGATTGTCGGCAGCTATGAGCAGTCCGCAGGGAAAAACCAGCGACTCTTCCAAAGGTGAATCGACGTGCAGAATCATTTCATGAGAGCACGTTGTGGCTGAGCATTTGGGCGTCCGTCGGTCGTGCATCTTGGCTGCCCTGACTGAAGACAGACAGGCAAAAATGGTAATCCAAACTTTGAGATGTTCCAAGGCCGAACCTCCGAAAGTCCGTTTCATTCCGTCTCCATCTTCCTTTGGCGCTCCTCCTCCGCCATGTGCTGGGCGGCGCCGTTTAGGAAGGCTGCGGACCCCATCAGCAGCTCGACCAGGACCAGAATGACCGACATCATCAGGCTGAAGGTGGCGAACCAGGACCCACCAAAAAAGAATAGGTCAAGACAACCTTGAACCACCATGGTTAGGCCCGATGGGTCAATCAACACCCCGCCCTTGTTTCCCATCAGTTGCAGAAGTAACTTATGTAAATGACCAGTCCGAATTCTGTGTTGAAACATGGTTGCAGTAGTTGAGGACGCTCCATGGTTACATGGGTATAGTCCATGGTCGCTCCATGGTTACCCGGTGTTAAGCCAGATCCCGAGACCCCGAAACAAAGTTTGGCCAAACCCCACCTAGAACAGCCTCTGGGACATCTTCCACCATTCGCAGTAATATGCCGAGCGGTTTTCGTGCCCCGATGAATTTATCCGCATGGGTTGGCCCGAGCCGGTACGCCAGAAGCACACTGAAAATGGGAAGTTCCATGGCTGCTTGGGATTTCTGTTTGCTGCGAGCGTGCCCTAGAAGCAGTGAAACTAGCCACACTGAGAATGGAAAAATTGGTGCCACCACGACGAGCAATATCACAGACTTTACTGATGCGGTCTCAAGACCAAATCCCATACCAGTGAAGTATAGCAAGACTGGGACAACCTGAACTGTGACGAGTAAGGCTCGCGTTCCTGCTCTCCCGTTCAATTCTCTCCACGCTTTTCGAGTGTGATAAAGGCTCGTAACACTGGTGGTAGCGACGAAGGAAGTGAATGCAAAGGCCCAAAGTGCCTTGGTCAGGATCTCGCATCCTATCTCAGCGCAAGCTGGCTCTACTACCACTTGGTAAACATCAAATTTGCCACAATTGTCAATCTCGACTGAGACTGGACACATGGTCGACCGGTCTTCCGGATCGGCTTCACACAAGGCCAGATTGGCCATTCCAAGGTCACAGGCTGGCAGATGTGACAGTGAGTCTGGGCATTGCTCTGGCAGCACTGGTATCAGTGTGGCTGACCCGCACTCGACGTGTAAATCAGCAACTGCTGCACGCTGGTAGCCCTCCAAACAATAGAGCATGCCAGAAATCAGGTTTGTGGACTCCAGCACCATGGTGAACGCAAGCCAAAAATGTGCCTTTCCTTGAGGAATGAACCGAGGGCAATTCTTGGGGGGTTCACTTGGACCGTCCCCCGAGCCCTGCTTGCTCTGCTTGCCCTGGGCTCGGCTCCCATCGCAAGGCTCGCTAGGATCAGGAGGCAAAAGCCCTGACTCTGCCATTTGACATGCTTAGCTTGAAAGCAAATGGCACAGCGGCGGTCTCTGGCATCAATGTAACCACGCCTTGCACAATGCAGAAATACTCTAAGCTTACCGCGCCCTGTGCAGGTGCCATTTTACGACCGTTCATCATTTCAAGCGCAGCAGACTTGCAATGGTATACCTGCCGTTTGGTCACTAAGAACGGGAACTATGGAACCCGCACGGCACGTCCTATTTTCATCTATTTTAATGGTGCTTGGAATTGGAAGCGCTCCTTAGATTTTGATATTCAAGGCAGCTACACCGCCCATTTGGCAGCAAAGTGAATCCACGTGGTCATATAAGCAACAGCGCGCCGTGGCGTTCGATGAAACCGGCTTTCAGCACTCGGAGCAATCCTTCGGAGCGATACCCAAGCGACCTGGCAAATGCAGCGCTCACAAGTCTTTTTGATCTTTTTGCGCTCAGGAAACCACTGAGGTGGTGAATCCCATGAAACTGTGGCGGCCTTGGCATACCAAACCCATGCGAATCCCACGCGGTCTTCACGTGTCCTCTTCTGCCAAAACGTTGGCAGCGTTGGAGGTAGACCCAACACACGTGGACGTGGAGGTGGGATCGAGCGAAAAGAAACCACTGGAAATTGGGGAAACCATCACACAGAAATGCTGATAGACGAAATTATGGGGGCATATGGGGGCATGGAGTTAAATTGGGATCCCCTATTGGTGAATGGATAAGTTACGACTAAAATCTACACACCAGGTGCGATGGTAGGCACTTGGATTCGGAAAAAAGGACTGGACAAGCCTTTAACCCGTCACTGCGCACGAAATCAAGTGGCCTGCGCTGGCTCCACATGTGTTCCTTTTGTCAAGACCTCATTCGGTATCTAGTTCACCTGTAGCAGAAACTCCAACAAAAGTGTCTCTCTTTCAGCTCCAATATTCGCGCCTCTAAATCCCATGACCGCCACGTAGGACGCGAAAAACACAAGCAAGTAGCCAGCCAGGACCCCCAAGGACAACAGCCCCGGCTTCACAAAAAGCAGGCTCCTGAAGAAGAACAAACAAAGTCTGTCGGAGTCGGATCTTCGAGTTCGGTACGTTACTTCATGAATCTTCATTGTACCAATGAAGTGTCAACCCCCACATGAGAAGGTTCCTCCACACATGTTCTTTCATGCCCAAACCAGGCATTCCATTGGCAATCCAATGAGTCTCCAGTTCTAGTTAACTTGCACTCCCTACACCACCACTCTCAGAAAGGTCCTGTCGAGCTTGGTTGGGCCCTCTGCGCGTGTGGTAGTGGTGGTCTGCGCGGCGTTTGTGCAGTGGAGCCAGACACCCGCTGGTTTGCGATGAGATGAATTTGTTGCAAAAAATTCTTTCTCCATGTACATGTGCGCCATGGTGATAAATCTCCAAAATTGTCTGGAACAATGATGTGATGAGCATGTTTTCCTCATAGTAGTAGTAGTAGTCGTCGTCGTCGTCGTCGTCGTCGTCATCGTCATCGTCATCGTCCATCGGCCCCCTGCACTTTACCCATATTCGTCCGCTACAATTTCCTTTACATTCAACAAAAAAAGAATGTCTACCAGCGCCGCAAAGGCACAAGCGGAGTGCGATGGAGTTTACATGCACACGGCCAAGTGGGAACTGGATGGCCCCTGACAAGTATCAGTTTGCAACCCTGTCAGCCCTCTTCAAAGGTTCTGTTGCCACTTCGCAAAACCTGTGGAAGGAAGGCTGCAATTATGAAACAACTTCGCAGGAAAAGTGGGCGCCCAGTGGATCCAGTGACACATAGCAGTGGGTGTTACCTAACGCAACTAGTCACACTGGCCGGGACCGAATGACCAGTTGGGTCTTTCCGCTTGGTATGAGGTGGCTACCAAATTAAAATCTGGGTAACATCACACCCATCAGAGCTGGCCTGACTGAAAGTGGTGGAAGTTGAACTCGCTGACGTAGTCTCTGTCTTTGTCTCGGGAGAGGTGCACGCGGACTGTGGTTTCTCTTTGCAGAATTGCGGCATCTAAGATTTGGCGGAGCATGTTGCATGAAAGTTGCCAAAACAAACACAATGGCCAAATTAAACATGTCGTAGCCACCAGACTGGAACTGGAAGTGATGCTGCTTGATGTCGTCATTGTTGTCGTGCTTGTCTGCGCCGAGTTGTGCAAAAGAACGTTAAACATGAGTTCAAGCAAAAAAAATACACACAGTGCAAACAAAGTTGCAAGTGAACCAAAGAACAACAATTCAGGGTTCACACCCGTGCAGTTCATACCTAGGCACAAAGCAGGCCTTTGGCCTGCCACCCATTTTTTGGGGGGTTTTGCAAGTCCAGTTTGAAATGAGGTTTCTGGTAGATGCAAACACATCGCGCTTGGAAGCGCCACTTGCGTTCCCATACGATCTTTGGCAGAGCTGGGCAGGAGCTTTTACTCTATAATGCTGGAGTGTTGGTCTGATGTGCGGCAATGTTGATTGGCAAAGTGCTGTGAACTGATCTAAAGCTTGCGCCGGCTGCCATCCTCTTTTCCTCTGTTGCACACAGGCGCCACAGAACGTTGGCCAAAAGGCCACAAAAATGTCACGTGGATGGGTAGATGGAGCCTTGAGATGAGAATGAACCTGTCTGAAGTTTTAAGTCCAAGTTTGTTTCACCTGCCATCCAGTTGTCCTCTGCTGCATACAGCATGTTGGCCTTTTGGCCACGAAAATGCCCCAACTCTTCCACCCACATGTTCAGCCCAAGGGCCTGGCCGATGAAAGTTCTCAGCAGTTTCCAGAACAATAGGAGTGACCGTGCCACTTGAACAAGCGAGCTCCATATTCAGCTTGCAAGGGCCTCGACTACTTGTTGGGTGACTCCGAACATGGCTATCTTCAGGGTCTTTTGCAAGAAGCTCTTCGTGCACCAGCAGCTCTCTAGCGCAACGGCTGCGAGCCTTTGACACATTGGAAAACGAGATCTGCTGAAATTTGGAAGAGTTTGCTGCGTTCATTTCACACCAGCAACGCACAAACCAAGCAAAGTGTCAGCGCACGATGAAATTGCACCATCAACCAAAAAGCTTTCCTAACCTCAGACGAGGAGCGCCGGCCTGCCACTGGTCTCTCCGCGGCCCGACTTCACGCACACATAGATCTTGAACATCAACACATCGCCTTGATCTTCTCGTTGACGCTGAGGATGTCGAGACATGTTGCACGGTGTCCCAGCGCTCCTTGGTCCAATCTCATCTTCTGGGGGCCAAAGCCCATCGGCAAGACTTCTAGCCTGTTGGGGAAAGTGGGATCTTACGCAATCCAAAAACAAGCCGACACCGCTGGATTTGCGGCCCTGCTCACGTCAGCCAAGGCGAAAGCTACTTGACGAGGGCGCTGCAATCTGGTCTTCAGGGACTTGAGATCATTGCTGCTTCAACTCCTAAGCTCAAAGCGATGTCTTCCTTCACTAGATGAGCGCTGCAAGTACCTCACAGCTCTTCCAGCGCACAATCACACAGGCTGCATTTCACGGTTTGCAAGCCCGCATGTTGGCGCTTATTGGCCTCCCAGGGCGCATTATCACATTCCGCATCACATTCCACTAGCTGCCACCTCCAAGCATCGGTAAGGCACAGTACTTGGTGAACGTGGAGTGCAGATTTTGTGGCAGGCGCAGTACAGAGCCTCCCGGACCAGCTACGGCGCGCGCGGGCGCCGCTGGGCCGCGCGTGACTTAGCGCAGATTGGAGCGCAGACTTTGTGGCAGGCGCAGTACACAGAGCCTCCCAACCACCGCGCGCGGCTGTCATGTAGCAGGCGCAATACTCAATAAGCCTTGGAGTGCAGATTTCGTGGCAGGCGCAGTACTTGGCGAACCTGGAGCGCAGTGCACAGAGCCTCCCGGACCAGCTGCGGCGCGCGTGGACGCCGCTGGGCCGAGCGCGGCTTCCGTGTGGCAAGCGCAGGACTCAGCGAACCTTGAAGTGGAGATTTCGTGGCAGGCGCAGCATACTCACAGTGAACCACGAAGTGCAGATTTCGTGGCAGGTGCAATACTTAGTAAACCTCGAAGCGCAGATTTCGTGGCAGGCGCAGTACTTAGTGAGCCTGGAGCGCAGATTTTGTGGCAGGCGCAGTACAGGCGTAGTACTATTAGTGAGCCTCGCAGTGCAGATTTCGTGGCAGGCGCAGTACTTGGTGAACCTGGAGCGCAGATTTTGTGGGAGGCGCAGTGCGCAAAGCCTCCCGGACCAGCTGCGGCGCGCGTGGGCGCCGCTGGGCCGCGCGCGGCTTGCGTGTGGCAGGCGTCAAAAGAACTGGTGCGCTGCACGTCTTCTGCAGAAGCTGATATTAAACTGACCCACAATGGAAGCTACACCCGCACACTCTGTATCTCTTCACTGCTTCTTCTTTCACCTCGCTGTCCCTTTCATTCACTTTTATCGCGCCGGATCTTTCCGTCCTCTTTTCTGATCAATCTCTACTTCTCATGGCTACTTCTTACAATGGATGGCCTTCTTCATTGTCTCCTTCTTGGCCCTTTTGAGTTCTCTTCGGAGGAGTTCATTCTGCTTCTGTAGTTCCTCCATCATTTGTTGTTCCAAGGCGCGTTGAAAACCTCCACCGTCATCTTGCCGGTCGCCTTGACGATGATCCCCTCCTTCGCGCTCTCCCAATCGTCGAGCTTGTTCAGGAGGGTCTCTTCGTACCTTCACTGCATTCTTCACTTTTCGCACGTTCTGTTAGCCAGCTTTGTGGAGGTAAAGGAACGCCCTGTTGATCTGCACTATAGGCCCAACTAGGCAGCGGACCATGAAATCGATCTCCAGTCGGCCAGCCCGACTCTATTTGGATTCGATGTTCGATGGATGGCTCCCCTTTCAGCTGCTCAGCAGCACTACGATCACTACGGTCCGAGCCCCGATCCCCTCTTCCACCAGCACTGATTGCAGATTCAGCCGCCGCTCCTTGTACATGAGGTCCTCCACCAGCACTGATTGCTTCTGCATCGGCTTCCGTTTCAGCGTCTGGCTCATCGCCCTCATCATAGGAAACTTCAAGCAGCCTCAGGCCTTGGTGTTCCTCCAGCAGCTCCTCGGAACTCATCAGACTCGTTTCCTTGGAGTCATCTGGCACCACAGGTAGATCACCTTCTGGTGCAAGATCCGAAGGTCTCACCCTCATCAACTCCACCTGCTCTCGGAGTCTTTCGCTCCAAAAAGGATTCACGCCCATGGGATCCAACTACCGGCCAACACCGGGTAGTCTTCCAAAATCAACTACAAACCCGAGTCGATGCTTGGGCTCATAACCTGCTTGGAGTCAAGCGCAGGTTTCCTTTCGAGCACAAAAAGGTCTCCGGTTCAAGCTCAACTTTCATGAACTTTCATGGAGTATGTTGTCACAAGTTTCGATGTGTTTTGCATTGTTTTGCAAATGTTGCCCAAGCCAAACCTGGCAGGGCAAACCAAGCAAAAAACCTGGCCTCAGTAGAACTGGAAGTAGTGCCACTTGAACTGGTCGACGTCGTGGCTGTCTGAGAAAATACTTCCAAACAACAAGCAGAACGAAACAAAGTAGCCACTCACAATTTTGCACCATTCTACGCTATTTCTGGGGAAATCGATTCCTTTTAGTTGCATGTGCACCCCTTTGACTCTACTTCGAGTCAGGAAACTGCTCGATTGCGTCCTGTTTAGAAAGACCTAGTTTGCTCATTGCTCTGTGAACAGGCGTGCCATGTTTGCATGTGTTCGCGGTCTCGTTCAAGCCGCAGGGTGACATTTACTATTCGAGCTTTCAGTCAGATATTATTGATGTGAAAGTTTATCGCACGCCGCCGATGATGTAGATTGTTCACCTAGTCTTTGCTGTTTAGTGCCGGTTGGCAATTTAGGTGGTCCAAGAAGTGGGTTCTCACAAGTTTCGATGTGTTTTGCAAATGTTGCCCAAGCCAAACCTGGCAGGGCAAACCAAGCAAAAAAAGGCCTCAGTGGAACTGGAAGTAGTGCCACTTGAACTGGTCGATGTCGTGGCTGTCTGAGAAAAAACTTCCAAACAACAAGCAGAACGAAAATGAAAAGGCGTTAGCCTCCCGAAACAATCTCATGGCGCTTTCTGCTAGCAAGTCATTTGCTCATTTTAGTTGGCATGAAACCACCTCAGTCGGACAATTAAGCATGACGCAGCCAGCCTGACTGGAAGTGGTTCTGGTCGTCGAACTGGTTGAGGCTGTAGTTGTCTGGGAAAGTCACGCGCCAAAGCACAAGCAAACGAGAGTAAACACATGGCTGAATGAGCGTGCCCAGGTGCAAATCCGACATGGCTCTGTCTTTTCGCGCTTTGCTTTGACTCGCTCCAATTGGTTTTCAATGGCTCCAGCCTTACTGAATGTGGTGGTGGTCGAGGCCGTAGTTGTCTGGGAAAGTCATGCGACAAAGCATAATCACACAAGAATAAACACATGGCTGAACAATTATGCGTAGGCGCAAAACCGACATGGCTCTGTCTTTTCGATATTTTTGTGACTGGGATAGTTCACTCCAATTGGTTCCAATGGCTCCAGCCTTACTGAATGTGGTGGTGGTGTGTCAGAGCACGCTACAAAGCAAGCCATGCAGAATGAACAAAGTAGCCACTCACAATTTTGTTCCATTCTATGTTATTTCTGCAGAAATCGATTCCTTTTTAGTTGCATGTGCACCCCTTTTACTCTACTTCGAGTCAGGAAACTGCTCGATTGCGTCCTGTTTAGAAAGACCTTATTTGCTCATTGCTCTGTGAACAGGCGTGCCATGTTGCATGTGTTCGCGGTCTCGTCAGATATTATTGATGTGAAAGTTTCTCGCGCGGCGCCGATGATGTAGATTGTTCATCTAGTCTTTGCTGTTTAGTGCCGGTTGGCAATTTAGGTGGGTCCGCAAAATGATTCTGGAAGGTATGGTCTTGCAATTTTGGGGGAGCCGGGCTATATCACCGCTGCGTCGTGAGAACCACCTGTGAAACACACTAGAAAGCCAACCTGAAACTTATCCTTATTAGTTGCGAAGCCTGGTCGAGTTTGCGCCTCCAATTCGATGGGCAGCCGTCGTTTTACTACTACTACTACTACTACTACTACTACTACTACTACGACTACGACTACGACTACGACTACGTCTACGTCTATACGTCTACGTCTACGTCGACGTCGACGTCGTCGTCGTCGACGACGACGACTACTGTAGACGACTACTACGACTACGACAATGACTACTACTACTATACTACTACTGCTACTACTACGACGACTACGACGACGACGACGACTACTAGTACTACGACTACTAACTACTACAACTACAACAACAACAACTACTACTACTGCTACTACTACTACTAATACTACCACTACCGCTACCACTACCACTACTCCTGCTACTCCTACTCCTACTACTACTACTACTACTACTACTACTGAGTTTTGCTTGATTCACGGAACTCTGACCTGAAAGCCTTTTTTAAACCCTTATAGTACAACTCATCGATTTCATTGCCCCAAACAATTTTTCAGGGGGTGAAGTTGCAATCTTGGAGCCCTATGAAAAATATTGAGAATTAGTTCTATATTGCTCTCTTACTCCTGCCTTTTAAGATGATTGATTAACTCTTCTAAGGCTTGTTTGATTCTCTGACCTGAAAACCCCTTAAACCACCTTATTTAAATTCATTGATTTCATTGCCACCAGCAGCTTTTAAGGGCTAGTATATAGACAAGCCTCGGGCAAGCCCTAGGAAAAATATTTCCAACTATTTTATCTTGCTCTGCTATTGCTGCCCCTACTACTGCTACTACGGCTACTACTGCGAGGAAGACGACGACTACAACCACGACGACTATCACTACTTCTACCACTACGAATGCTACCACCACTATACCACCACCACCACCACGACCACTACTACTTACTACTACTACTACTACTACTACTACTACTACTACTACTACTACTA